TCTATGGTATGTGTCCTAAAGCTCGTAAATGCATGCATTAATTCAATTGCAACCCTCGTAAAAATGTTTTGGACTAACCAATCTTTATCATGTAAAGATCTCAAGACACACATCGCAAACCAGTTGATAACTTATATTTGGTGTTTGAAACAATATGGCGGTAATAATAAAAAAAAAATTAAATTAAATCTTCCTTTCGCAAAAGAAAAAGAAATAAGTATCATTTGTTTTGATTGGTACTTTTTCATTCATGATTAAGTTCAGGAAAAATGTGTAGAAAAAAAAAGTAATTTTCACATGATTTTTTTATTTATCCTTTTCTGATTCATTCAGTGGCCTGTGAAATTCTTTTTTTTTTACCTGCAATTGAACTGCTTTACCCAGCAGCACACGTTTTATGCTGGTACTGAATTGTGTATATTTTTGACACACCTTCATGTTGTAAAGCTTTATAACTATGTTGATGGAAGAACGGAAGATCACAGAGCTCTGTTTATTTTGTTGCCTGTCTGTCTTCAGAAGAGGCTGCCTTTAAAATATAGACTGGCACAGTCTGGGTGAATTACTTTTTTTTCAAATTTAAAATTAAATAAAAAAATAGCGAAATGAAGGTGTTAACTCAAAATCCCTGTAACTGCAAAATCACCCCACCTTTCGCAAAACTATTTTTTCCCAATTTTTTTTAAAAAATCACCATAGCTGGCCCAGTCTATTTAAAATATTATATACATAGATGTCATTAAAATAAAACTGACCTGTCTCATTCTACTATTTGTTTTATCTTTCTGTTACTGGTAATCGCCTAAACCATGACAAAAATAAACAAACATGCTAATGTCCGCCAACCTATCGCATGGTACATGTATTCTTATTTTTTCAAAAAATGAACCTGTATGTCATTTCGTTGGCTTTGCTGTCATCATGACAGTATTGAAAAAGATGTTTTGACTTAATATTTGCTAAGTGGATAATTTTTGGGGTGGGGTGGGGGGTTTGGTGCCCCCCCCCATAAAATATTTGGTCTTGGGGTTCTGCTATCAAATGGATGTGAACAATTTAGGCGATGAAGTTAGGTTGGCATGTCTTGTGGGTCTGTATTATTTCACTACATTGTACGTCAATGTTCTTATAGGACAGCAGATTTAGATTTTAGATTACCGTATTTATCTGGCTAAGAGCCCATGCCCAGACAAAGGCTCACCTCCCACTTTTGATAAAATAAAGGAGTTGAGGTCATATCCTAGCAAACTCCCAGGAGGTTTTTTTCTACACCTGTAATAAAATAAAATAACGAAAACCTTTTTTGTTCGTTGTATTAACAGTTGACTTCCTTGCAGTCTGTTGTGATTCTGATAAAACATTTTGAAAAAATAAACGTCAATTGCGTAAAATGAGGAGTGAACGCGAAATAGCTGTGACATATATAGAGCAGCGTGTTCACCACTGTGTACGCAGTTTACATTTAGTTTTTTAGCTCCGCTGTCGACTTTGTCGAGCGGAGCTTATCATATGAGTGATTGTCCGTCGTCGTCATCCGTATCAATGTTTTACTTTTTAGCTCCGCTGTCGACTTTGTCGAGCGGAGCTTATCATATGAGTGATTGTCCGTCGCCGTCGTCGTCGTCCGTCGTCGTCGTCCGTGTCAATGTTTTACTTTTTCGACTTCTTCTTGAAAACTACAAGCCTGAATGCTTTGATACTTGGTGTATATGTACCTTGGGTAGACCTCTCTTAGGTTTGTTCATTTCATGTTGATATCTTCAACTCTCTAATTTTGGTGAATATTTTTGTCATTTTTGGTAAAAAGTGATATTTTCGACTTCTTGTTAAAAACCGCAAGTGCAATTGCTTTGATATTACATATATAGGTACTACATGTGGACCTCTCTCAGATTTGTTCATTTTGTAATGATATCTTTAATTCTCTAATTTTGGTGAATATTTTTGTCATTTTTGGTAAAAA